GGGGGGCAGGAAAAATATCTCTGGCTACTGCTGGCCTTACCTAAGGGAGCAAGAACCTTAATCCATTAAAGCTTTCCAACTTGATGGGTTTTTCTCTTTACAGTTAATAAAAACTTAAAGCAATGGGCTCATACGCTGATAATCAACTCTTTTCTGTACTGCTGTAGCTAACTTACCTGAGAGTTTTCATGTGTCTTGAAGGTTTCGCATTTTTCTATTGCCAGTATGAGTCTTGATTGGAAAAACTACAATACAAAGCTGTTTACGTTATTTGCCTGTCTTTAATGTTTGAGTGATTACCTAACTCTGATCAGATCTAGCCCACAGCCTTGGTTAAACGCACTAATTTTTGACTAAAATGGTTTGACTCTCTGATAGTTTAAATTCTAAACCGAGTCTTTCAACTTTGGGGCTTCCAGTCGGATCCCTGGAACTCTCAAAGGATGAGACTAACTTTGTTAAAGTAACAGCTGTTTGAGTCAATTCAAATTATACAAAGTGTATTAAAATGTAGTAAATAGTAAATGATGTCATATCTATGTTGTATTCATGTTTTTGCTTTTCAGCTAGAGTAGTCTTATAAAAATGAGAGTAAAATCTTTGTATACAAGCCTTTATGTTGTTAACTAAAGTAAGCCAATACAGATTGGTTCAGAAAATTGGGCTAATGCAAACGCCCTTTGGTTTGCTTACTCAGTTTTACATGTCTTTGATATGCTTTAAACTTGTTTCTCTTAAGGATGAAGATCTTTTCAAAGTTGTAAATATGCACTAGTGACTGTGTTTGCTGCTCAAGTGGTGTTATCCTTTTGTTACTTAAAAGCATGGAAATGTAATTTTGACTTTTAATTCAGATATTGGTGTGGTATTCATTAATAACTCAGTGTCTTAAGTTATCTAGGCATCGGTGCTAAGTAAAACATGAAAAATGTATTATGTGTACTTTTAACATCTTAAATTTGATAAGAGAGACTGTTTAAGTTTGTCAGCATGTATTCTCATAGGTTGTCCACACATGACAATTCAAGACTGTAAAACTAACTACAGGTATAAAGTTTCAGAAGGTGTGAGCAAGTCATGAAAAGTTGTAAAAAGTTTACGATTTTAAAACATTGTTTACAGAGTTTTCTATAAGTTAAATGTTAATGCCAAAATTACACTAACCTAAAGTTGAAGTATGATCTTCTGTTATAACAATGGGATTTTTTAAAATGTGTACTAATGTTAGTAATTATTTGGAAATGGTCTCAATCGTAAATCTTAATAAATCTTAAAATCTGTTGTTGCAAAAACTGTAACGTCTCTTTTTAACAGTGTCTGCTTAATCAGTTACTCTGCCATTTCTAAAGTTAGGTCGTGTAAGCTCTTTTTAACTCTGTTAAATAGTTCTGAGTTATGTGATAATTTCGTGTGCTAATTCCTACATCCAAGGTTTTTATTTCTGGTTTATTCAACAAGAAACATAGAATCCATATTCTACCAAAGTAATCTGTGTACTCTATTGTCTGTTAAGTTATGATTGATAAAAAGCATTAAGTCTTAAAAAGTTATGTTAAATAACATTATGATCAGATGTGATCTAAAAGTGTTAAAATTGCCCTGACTAAATGTTAAGGAATTCTATTTTGACCAGATACTCTAAATTCTCTTGGCACCTTTAACAGACTTTCTGAAAATCAAAGTTTTAAATTTTCTGGACTTTTGATACCTCCAGAGGGCCCCTGGAGATGTCAAAAGATATATCTCTCATCTCACAGAGATAATAACCAATTGGGCTGTTTAGATTAAAAGTGGTGCCAAGATGTGAAATGATGCTAAACTTCAGCTATAAACATGTTTCTAGCTGCTCCAGTCTCTGGCTCAGAAGCCAGATCCTTTAAAGAGGGACTGACAAAGTCTAAAGCATCCCATGGTAATGATTTATATCACCTCAATGCCCAGACCTTACGATTAAGATACGGAATCACCCGGGAACAGGCAAGGCAAATTGTAAAATCCTGCCCTTCCTGTGTCACATTTCTCCCGGTCCCTCATTATGGTGTAAATCCTAGAGGTTTTATGCCTAATCAGCTTTGGCAGATGGATGTTACTCATTTTCCTGAATTTGGTAAACTAAAATACATACATGTTTCTTTAGATACATGCTCAGGTTTTGTTCTTGCCACCCCACAATCCGGCGAGGCTGCCAAACATGTCATCTCTCATTGCCTTCAGACCTTTGCTGTTCTAGGAACCCCCATACAGATAAAAACTGATAATGGCCCAGCATATACTTCCAACTCTTTTAAGCACTTCTGTGCTAACTTCCACATCTCTCATATCACCGGGATTCCTTATAATCCCGAGGGACAAGGTATTGTGGAACGTGCACATGCCACATTAAAAAATTATTTACAAAAAATAAAAAAGGGGGAATACGAGACCATGGCACATTCCCCACAAAAATGGCTATCACATGCTCTTTTCATTTTAAATTTTTTAATACTGGATAATCAAGGGAAATCTGCAGCTGATCGTCACTGGCATCCTGAAACCAAAAGACAACAAGTCTATGTGAAGTGGAAAGACCCTCTAACTGCTCAATGGTATGGACCTGACCCTGTTTTAATATGGGGATGTGGACATGTTTCTATACTCTCGCAAAAAGACAATGGAGTACGATGGTTACCTGAGCGACTTGTGCGGCAAACAGACAATGTCACGAAGCAACCCCTTGATCTTCATTATGATAACATTGCTGATCGGGATCCCCCTGAAGATGAATGAAGCTTGCCGGCTCACATCAAACTAACCTAGGCCATGGACTCTGTTGGTGCGCACCAGTAGTTCAAAATTGTTCATGCACTTATAATAATGGAATTAAAACAGCAGAATTTGTACAATGGGTAAGGAACAATCAAACCTTGTTCCGTACTGGGAGGGTTATAGTTGAAAACCAATGGCTTAATGTGACTGATCAATCGAAAAGGGAAAATACTGATTTTAGCATATCAAAACTGGTCACACTGACAGACTCGGGTATACCTTTGTCAATTCTAGAAAAGAAGCCTCGTTTATGTATTGGTCAAAACTGTTGAAGTAACTCTTATGGTCAATTCCTCCTTCTCTGTTGAAAGTAGCAATTTCTGGCTACATTTAGCTGCCATTAACTACTTAATACTGAAAGATCTTATAAGCTGTGACTTGATTATTATCTCAAATAATGTTCCTTACATAAAATATCTGGTACAGCAGCTAAAAGGTGAACTTCAGCATATGTTTCTAACTAATGTCTTTTCTTTTGGTGGATCTCAATGGACCCACTGGCTTTTGATGTTGCTGGGTCCTTTATTGCTGCTCCTGCCTTTTTGCCTGTGGCTCCCCTGTATATTCCAAGGCCTCTCTGTGCCATTTGGTACCGTTTGGTCTGAGATTTTAAAGTTGCATTCACAGCTTCACCCCTGAGCCAAAAAGGATGGCATTGAATTCCAATGACGGGTAAGACTCAGTCTCCTTGTACCAACCTAAGACAGGAGCCTCAGAGAATGTCTGGGGTGTCCAATGACGGGTAAGGACAAGAAGAGACACGGGCAACCTAAGACAGGAACAGTGCCTCAAAAAAATAAAAAAAGGGGGAAATGTGGGCAGCCACAGGTAGTCACTCCCTTTGTTTACACTTAAACATATGAATGGAGACTTCCCGGCACAGACAATTAGGCTAGGGGAGATTCTGGGAAGAGGCAGGAGGAACCTAAACCTTTCACAAGAGATGATAACAAATAATCAGTCACACCTGTAACCTTCATTTATCACCTAAGTGTTTTTATTGTAACCTTAAGAGCCGTTTTGATATGTAAATCTTTAGTGCTCCTCCTTGTAAACAACTGGTCATGTTTAAATACTACTGCATTTATTCAATAAACGAGCCTTGATCAGGACTTGTCTTGGCTCCATTCTTTGCGTCCTTGTCCCCGCATTCCCACTCTCTGTTTCAGGAAACCCAGTTCATCGTGCCGCAGGCCGGCACACAGCTTAACCCACTATGTCCCCCGTATGAGGGGGTTTGGTTTTATTATTTCTGGGGCAGAAGCCATCATTTGAGTCTTGCCTGTGGAAATGGCCTTGAGGAGGGAAAGCCTCTTCGAACTCAGGTTCAACTGACTTTCTAGCCCTTCAGAGCCACTGGCTGCATCCTCCCTGCTTCACCCAAAGAGATCAGGGCACGCGGCTGAGTGGAGAGGGGGGCTTGCAGCCTTTGCACCCGTACTCTGGACACACGTTGCCTGCACGGAAGGCCTACAGATGGCTGTGGCTGCTGGTGACACAGACACAGGCGCCTCACCCTCAGACCTGGGAAGCCAAGAGTCACAGAGCATCAACTACCCATCCTAGGTTTTCACAAAACAGGACGGATATGAGAAAGAACGTGCTTGAGAAGTCTCTTAAAGACGTCTGAAAAGAGAAGAAGAAAGAAAATCAATTTTCAAAATCACTCCCTAGCAACTCGTAGAACTTATCTCTGATTTCCCCAGAATAACCACCTCTTCCTCCGCCTCCCTACTTCTTTTCATCCTGAATTCTAAAGTGACAATACAATCAGCACTGGCAGCTAGACTCATTAAAGGCGTATTTTTAGACGCGAGCTCAGGGAACTGTGTGACCCACCTGTGGCAACGAGGGATCCCAGAGAGCTTTCATGCGAGCCCTGTGGAGCTGGCACCCTGAGCCTTGGCCGTCGTCCTGATTGGGTTGTTATATTTAACCACACGAAAGTTCGCCCCTGCAATGGAGCCTGAGGCCACGTTTTCGCTTCCTGAGCTTGCCTGCGAGGTGACCCCATTTTCTTGGGGTCCCACGCTTCTGAACCGGGCTCTGCCATTGCTCCGTAAGGGCTTTTCAGGAGACAAGTCGTTCAGCCCCTGGGACTCGGCCTGACCATCTCGGGAAGGGAGGGGTCCTGGACACTTGCCATGAAACATGCTTCATTACCGGAGCGCGCCCTGGCAATCCGCAACACTAAATGTCATCAGCGCCTTGCAGCCTCGGGAGCACGGGAAGCAACATGTGCAGATGCTATTTTTCCACCATGTGTGTGACCTGGAGGACTTGTCAGATTTGGACAAGGCTCAGCAGAAGAGGCCCTGGCTTGGGAGTGAGCCAGATGAGGCCCGGGGCAGGGAGGACTGAACTCAAACCGTGTCCAAGGCCCCGAGGAAGGGTCTGTACTGTCCATTCCTCCCTCATGCATGATGGGAATTTGTATCCCAGGAAGCTACAGTTACCTACCATCATTCCCATTCATGGTAAGCAGCCAAGACTATCTGTAAATATGTATATGTATATATATGTATATATATTTTTTTAACAAAGAATGCTGCTGTTTGTTTTCCTTTTCTCGGAAAGTTTGTATCATCAGAGTATTTGCTTTTAGGTCCAAACCCGTTGGTAAAATTTAGTTTTGTTAAAATATCTTCTTTGTTATACAGCTTTCGTCTCGTTTGTGGAAAAGCAGCCCCAAGAAGGCCCACAAAGCCGTGTGGAAGCCGCCCCAAACATCCAGGAAGTAGTATGGCTCTCCTGCAGACTTTTCCTTTCTGGTGACTTCTGCAGCTTCCTCAAACCATAAAGTGACGTAATAACACAGAAATTCAGAAATCTTTTTTTGGATAAAGTTACTGAGAACTGTGGTTTTTTTTTTGGAGGGGAGTTAAGATGGTCTCCTACAGGGTAAACTTATGCAAGTTCTCTGCTCTAAGTACAGGCAAACACCACACACACACACACACACACACTCACACACACACATACACACACACGCACATACACACTGTCACACACACATACTTAGAATTGTTCTGGAATTCTGGGCTGTGAAACTCCTTTGCAGGTGTGGAGTATCTTTATAAAATGTCAGCTGGCTCAATGCACTGCCAAAGTGTCACTGTGAACGAACTTATCAGAAATTAACATTTGCGGTATCATATCTGCCTTATACTTTTGTTTTTATCACTCAAGAATGTTTTACCAAAAAATGCCTTAGATGCAGCAAATGCTGTTACCTGACTTGTTCAAGACAATTGTCTCGATGCCAGGCCACATCACTTACAAGTGTTAATTCCACTGAGCTGAATCTTTTAAAAACTTTCAACCAATAGGCACTTTCACGATTATTGTGGAAGTGCATGGGCATTGACTTTGCTTTCAGAGAGTTTGAAGCTCTTGCACATATTCTAATTAGCTATTTATTGCTAGTTACTCTTGGGCATTCTTGGTCAGAGCGCTGGCTGCTCCTTCTTAGCCCTGAGGCTAGTCATGTAGGCTGCCCTGGGCTCAGGTGTGCTCTTGGGGGCACACCTCTTTGGAACTCCCCAGGGTCACAAGTGAGGTCCCCTCATTAGAATAACTGAGAAAGAGGATATTTTAGGACTGGACACAAGAAAGGAATAACTCATTATGATATATCAGAGGCAACTGCTTGTATGATTAAGAACCTTAGTAGCTGAAATTAAAACAAATTAATTTTATCCTATGCCATCAGATCCAAGGCCTGGTTCTTCCTCTCCCTCCCCAGGACAAAAGCTGATGGCTGGCTTGCCTAGCTATATGCAACATCTGCCTCAACACACTGCTCTGTTTTCTCAAAGAGATTTGATTCCTGAGAATATTTTCCATCTTTCAGTCTCCAAGTTGGAAGATTCACTAGAACTAGGTGGCTTAGCTTCCCACAATGGTGAGTTTTCCAAACAAATGACCCCAAATAAACAAAACATTACCCTAAGTGTTCACTGACATCTGAAATATGCCCCAGTTGTCACTTCTGTTGACAGAGGTTGTGAGAGACATCCAGTGAGCATTTCTAGTTACTGCTGGGCGAGCTCTATAGCAATGGCCACCAAGCAGCCCAGGATGGCATGTGCTCCTCAATGTCTCTCTCCATGAGTCATTTCTGGTGCTGTCTCCTCCTCCTCATTTGATAGAATTTTTAGCCTCCGTCGAAGTCAGATTCTCTATTCTCTACCAGTCTTTAACCAACTAGTCTCTTAAAAATATTTATTTGAAAGGCATAGTTACAAAGCAAGAGAGACAGAAATATATATATTTATATATAAATTACATAGAAATTATAAATTTTATATATATACAGAGAGAGAGAGAGAGAGAGAAAGAGAGGGAGATCTTCCATCTGCTGGTTCACTCTCCAAATGGCTGTAATGGCCAGGAGCCAGGAGTTTCATCTGAGTTTTCCACGTGGGAACAGGGGTCCAAGCATTTAACCATCCTCTGCTTTTCCCAGGTGCATGAGCAGTGAGCTGGATTGGAAGTGGAGCAGCCAGGATGGAAATGGTGCATATGGGATGCTGGTGTTGCAGGCAGTGGCTTAACCTGCTGCACCACAATGCTGGCCCCAATTAGTCCCAATCAACTAATAGCTAATTCTTATCTGGGCAGACCTAAGACCTGCTACCATACATTTCTTTGTTTGTGAAAAGAAATAGGTCTGGAGTCTGAGTTGGGTGTCCACGGGAAGGGCATGAGGAGTGGTTTGCAAACACAACCCAAGACGAAACACTCTGCAGCTATCCTCTCCTTTCTCTCTTGTGGGCCACACACAGAATCTGCCTCTTGGTAACCATTCTCCTTGTTTCTCTTTTTGGACCAGGCCAAGCCTCCTGCTTCTCACTCTAAGAACATGATGATTTCTGGTCTTAATTGGCCTTTGTGAAAAAAATCTCCTGTTCCTAATTCACATACCTGCAGGGTCAGATTACAGCCACTTGCTCAAAACTTGGAGGCACATTTTATTTCTTAAATATAGAAAAAAAAGTGTATATCCTTGGTCTGGCTCTCAGGTTCCTTGTCATCTAGCTTCAATCTACTTTTCTTTTTTGAAGGATATTTTTCTCTCCAGATGCACTGGACTTCTCATAGTTATCCAAATACATCAGGCATTTGAGTATTACTGTGCCTTTATGTAATCACACTCTTCGGTTGTCATGGACTCTTTCTTTTCCCAGCCAATCTGGAAGAATATTGTCTGTTGTTCCAAACTTGCTCTCAATTCATCACTGCACCCCTGCCTTACCTTAGCATATTCGTTTTCTCTCCAATGGCCTCAGAATTACTCTGTCATGGGACTTGGCTCTCCAAACTTGGGGAGACACTGAAACCCTATGTCATGTATTAATGGTTGATGGGTTAAAGATGGAGACCTGGAGAGTCTGAGCTGTGGACCTGGTAGGAGGTCTTTAGGTCACTGGGGGCGTGTCCTCAGAAGGTAGTTCTTCCAAGGTGCTGGTTGTACAAGCCAGGTGGGCTGCCTGTCTTGCTGTGTCTACCCCTGCACTCACCATGCAACCATCCACAGTCAGACTCCCCCAGATGTCAGACTAAGGGAGCTGCCTGATCCTGAACTTGACCTCCAAACTGTAAACCAGAATGACCTATTACTTCCCCAGAAACTCCTCTCATATATGTTAGTAAAGTCACAAAAAGCTGGCTAATACAGCCTGCTTAGTTTGTCTTTCTTATGTTTCACTGCTGGAGAAGATTTTTGCACTCTCTAAGGGCACGAATTGTCTTTGTATTTCTTATCTTCCCTCACACATTTGCCAGAACGCCCTGCGCAGAGTAAGTGCTCACTCAACAGGTTTGGACAAATAGAAAAGGTAACACTAAAGAAACGGCAAGCTGCATCATGGCTTCACATACTTAGAGCTGCCCTGGAGCTCAGAGAGATCCAGGAAGGTTCCAGAAGTCCCCAGAACCTGGGACAAACGGTCGGGAGTTACTTTTCCCAGGTTCGAAGCTCAACAGTCTTGTGCTGTTAGAGTTCTGGGATCTTTCCAGGACAGAATGCCAAGCTCAGATGCAGCCATTGACCTCAGACACTTAATTAAGTGCAGGTGTCCTCAAAAGCCACCTGTGAGGAAGGCGGCTCGGGCTGGCAGCACGCTCCCTAATCCCGAGGGCCGTGCGGGAGCACACTCGCTGCAATTCTGTTTGACTAGCAGCAGCTTTGTTTAGACACCTGCTCTTCTTCAGCAACCAGAGGTAACTGATAGCAGTGTGCTCGTACGTGCCCAAGCAGCATTTCAGGCCCCCACAGCCAACTAAAATTATCCTTCTTGAGGGATCTATTTGAGTCTGACATTTGCCCATTGATTTTCTTTAAAATGAAATGGAGCAACCAAGGCGCTGCTCATCACTACCCTCCAAATAGGCTTCAACATAGTCTCTCACTGAATATGCATTGCAGGTGTGGGGTGCTCCCAGAGCCCCCTGGGGCCAGGCAACTGTGCACTTTGGAAGAAGGCAGGAAAAGGCTGGCGGCTGGACGTTCCCACCCTCCACGCAGAGTTCCTCAGGAACGTGCTCATGCTTCGTCTCGTGCTGTTCCTCCTTCTTACCCAGTCCTCCCTAATCCTAGTCGGCCTTAGAGTTAGCCTGGGACATGGCTCTCTTTTCTCAAGGCCTTCCTTGACTTATGCAGACCTCATAGCTCTCCTTTCTCTGAACTGCTTCTGCACTTCGCATCAGTACCAACTAATTTACATTCTTTGGCCTGTCACTTTGGAAAACACTATTTAAATTTATTTGAGAGAGAGAGGAGGAGAGAGATCATCACATTCGCTGACTCAGTCCTCAAATGCCTGTGCCGGCCCGCATCAAAACCAGGATTTGGGAACTCCATCCAGGTCTCCCCTGTGGGCAGCAGGAACAAAATGTCTTGAGTCATCACTGGTGTGCCCCAGGTCTGCCTTGGCAGGAAGCTGGAGTCATTGAACCCAGGCACTCTGATAAGGTAGGTGGACCTCTTCCCTGCTAGGCCAAACACCTGCCTGTTACTTTTCTGAAGATGTTAATTTGATCTTCCTGGGCTGAAGGCAAGCATTTTCAGGGCTGGGATTATAATCTCTTTTGCCTCCCTCTGTGACCCCACTTGGAAATACTTCTTGGCTGATTGTAAGCCATTGAAATCTAGTGGAAGAATTTAAGGTAACTCAGATTTCCACTATGGGAGCCATCGCTTAGTGCCCCCTGATTCCTACATTTCCTTTTGTAACAAAAAGCAGACTGAATTGATGCTTAAAATTAGACTTCCTTAAAAGACCGAAAATGTCCCATAAGGAATCCTCCATCAATGACATTTTAAATAATTTGTGTGCAGTTACTAACCCAGTGTGAGAGTGTCCATTGGATCTCCACGGAATAGTTTGGAGATGGCTTCAGCAGCCAGAAAAATCCTTCACAAAGGACAGGATTCACTGGGGGGCTTGCTGGGGACTTACTGAAACAGAGTGGGTTGGCAACTATGACTTGCCCCCAAATCAACCTGAGAGTACTCCAGGCCACATATGTATTTCTTAAAAGCAAGATTTCTCACTTTGGTCAATTTTAGAATATGGTTCAATCTTTGGAAAGGAAGAAATCTGCTAGTATTTGTCTTTAGCATTCCATTAAAGAATGTTATGGTTTTTGAATTGCTTAGATTGTTTTCACATAGAAAGCGTGCGTCTGTAGCTTTGCTGAGAAAGCAGACATTGCACATTTGCTTCAGCAAGGCACTGATAAATTCCAATGTTAATTCAATAGGGACAAAACCAAGGGACACGGTTGTTCAAATTCTATGCAGTAAAGACGGATATA